AGTTGACCGTTTCCTACAGGTCGGTGGTATTCACGTATCGAAGGCGATAACCTTTGCGGCGATTTGGAAGCGTCTGACGTAGAGCCAGGCTCACTGCGCTAATCCAAAACTTTCTTTCGCCTGAGAAAGTGGTGTTCTTGAGGACAGAGAGTTAACACGGCCTCAGTCGGGAGAAGCCCAGGTTCTTTGAAAATGCCTTGGTCAAAAGTAGGATAGGAAGGCGATATTTGGCCATAACTGAAGGATGGTGAGCCACCGTTTGCCGCTTGAGTAGTTAAGCAGGGTCTTAATAAGAGAGTGAAATAAGCTCAAATGGAGGTGGTTTTGTTTGGGTATAAAATCGCTCTGTGCTGGTAGCAGCAGGAGCCTGTGAAAACGTGTTTTGTGCATAGAAGGGAGAGGACTTGGCCAATTCAAAGATCACTTAGGAAGAATCGCTGTGTTGTCTTGCGTTTGGGGAACGAGTTCAGTGGGGTTTAGCGATCTGCTTGAGCTATCGCCTTTCTCCGAAGCCAATCCCGTTTTAACCATGTACTCTTCCTCCAGTGCCTTGCGTTCCATGATATTTCACTGCGAGCTCCTGCGCTTTTTCCTAGCCACTCGCGAGAAGGCTGTTGTCAGGTTATCCGAAGCAGAAGATTCTGGCGCACCCATGAATACCGTGGAAGCTTTCTGTACACTAAACAGTGCCTGTAAGAGGTACGTAATTTAGTAGGCTCAGTCCTGTCGCCTCGTTTCCTCTTGATGTTGCAAAGAGGCAGAGTCGGCTGCGGCAGCGGGATTGTGGAACTCTGTGATGTCTCGATTTGAGTTAATAGATACGTCCAACTTGAATGGGTTAATGCCGCAATATATGCGCCAGCAAGTGCACTTGGCTGCATACGATTGGTTATACAAGTCCGCGCGTAACTTATCACCATGTGTAACCTATCACCGAGCGAAACCTGTCACCATGACAACGCAGAACCTGTCACCCTGACAACGCAGAATTCCCCGCAACGGCTTATTTTTACCTGCCAATCTCCTCACTAGACACAACTCAGAAACCACTTGTTTATCTTGAATCCTCACCAAGTCACCATGTCCTTAACATTCCCGAGGTGGTCTCGCTCTTCAAGCCACCCCTCCACAATTCCCCCTTTTTCTATTTGTGCTACAAATACTGAAGGAACTAACTTATGGATAGTTTTTTAACTAATTTAAGAACAGTGTTAAAGCCAGCGAGCATCAGAACAGCAGTTAGAACCCAATGCTGGGTGCCCGACGATGTAGATTTGGTTATCAGCTGCGTAGTTGACAGCATTGCAGGCACCCAAGATGTACTGAAACTCCACCAGGTGGGCTTCTACCACGCTGTCAATCAGCCCCCAGATGTGAACCGCAGGGGGCTTCTGGGGATCGTCATAGCTCTCCCCCCTGCTAGCCCCAGCCCTGTTGCCCCCCCCACCCCGGTCCTCCGGGCCCATCATATGGCGGTTCCGTGTTATCTGATGCTTCGGGGCTCGGTCTCTGTCGCCCCCCCCCCCTTCGTATTATCTCACCGAGCCTCCCCCACCCGCTCCCATTTTGCTTATCTCGCCCCCTTGGCCGCTGCCCTCCGTGCTTTGCGGTTCCCGCCACCGCCGCAGCCACATGGCGCCCCACTCTGCCGCACCGCCTCCTCAACCAAGTATTACCGGGAAGGCTCCACTAGACAATTTCCCTACCACCCCCCACTCTCCTTCCAATACTGCATCACGCACGATAGCCTACCATTCCCCCACCCGCGGGCGAAAACAGACTCCCCCCCACCCCTTAACCCTTTGCCTCTGGTTTCGTGATGGCTTTTCGTCATTCGAGGACGATGAGGTATCCGAAGACTCTCTGCTATCAGGATCCTGAATGGTCGCCTGACCCCGTATCCATGGACGGCAAGCCTCTGTCTCCGTCGGGGGTGGGGGAAGGTCCTCCACCTTTGGTGCCGGTAAGGGCAGTGTTGGAGCTGATGGCGCCGCCCCTGCCGCTGCTGCACGGTGCCTGGATGGCAGACGGGTACCTCCGGAATCGTGGGCGGTGGCAAAAGGTCGAACAATGACCTGGGAACCGCCCCAAACAGGGCTTCCGTGGTCTTAGGAGGCTCCTCCGGCTCCAATGCTTGCAATACATTTTGGGCTGTCGAGCGTACTATATGATACTTCTTCAAACAATTAATCACTTCCCGCCATGGACCCTGTTATTTCTTAGCCCATTTTTTTCCGTCTATTACTGCATCCCAGATCGTATCGCCATAATTCCACCACTCTTTGACTTCAAAGAGGGCAGTAGACAAGTCATTAAAGTGCCCCTTTGCCCGACCAGTCGCTATCAAAGTCGACAGGGCTTTGACACGGAGCTTTATTCCCTGCTTCTCTAAGAAGCTAGATAAGAGCGACTGGGCTACCTCCTGCTCCATGTCGTCTTCTCCACTCGGCTTTGGTGTGGTACCTGGCCGATTCTCTCCCTGGCTTTCGTGCGCTTCCTGGCCGATGTCCATTCCCCTGGAGACAACTTCCCGAGGTGCAACGTTCGCGTACTAATGCACGTAGTCGGGTCCTTGTTAGGGCACCATTTGCGGGACTGGGATTGTGGAACTCAGTGACGATTCGATACGAGTTAACAGCTAAGTCCAACTTTAATGGGTTAACGCTGCAATATATACGCCAACAAGTACACTTGGCCGCGTACGATTGGTTCTATGAGTCCGCACGTAACCTATCACCGTGCGCAACCTATCACCGGGCGAAAACTGTCACCGTGACAACGAGGAACCTGTCACCGTGACAACGCGGAATTCTCCAAAACCGCCTATTTTTTCCCACCAACCTCCTCACTAGACACAACTCAGTAACCACTTGTTTATCTTGAATCCTCACAAAGTCACCATGTCCTTAAGATTTCCAAGGTGGCCTCGCTCGCCAGCCCTCCACATTAGGCCATTTAGAGTTTCGCGACACCATAGTCTTTTGCCTCTAGCTTGTAACGGAGCTGAGCGTTTTGACTAAGGGTAGTGACAGAAAGCGATGCTCATTTCTGGCTGCATACTCGTAGTGCGAAATGCAGTGCTGTTCAGAAGTATGGCCCGATGCCTGTGTTCATGGTTTCTAGACAGTGGTACTTGCTCAAATACGAAAAAGGGGGCTTGGGGTTTTGAGCATGTCGGAGGCGAGGAAGGGGAAAGCTGGCTGAGGGGTGCTGGGTGTTTCGTTTTCAGCTCTAGAAGTCAAGTTTGATGGCTTTTGCGTGGGCTCACAAAGCCTACACTGAGTTTTCCATTTCTGCCAGGATGACTTAAGTTGCCCAAAGATATACTGGGGGGCTGGAACCCCAAGGCAATCTGGCTACGGTCCCTGATTTCTAGCCCGTTACTGTCTAGCTGGGGGCAGGGGGCAGGTTAAAAAGGAAAGGAAAAGAAAGATGGCGAGTCCCATAGCTGCCCCTCCCCCCATTGTGCTTAATCAGTCTTTGTAGCTTTGCTGGGAATGTGTCAGTTGCAGAAAGGCAGTAATTTGAAGAGCAGTGCTTGTGTGGCAAAGAACTATTTCACCGCGTTCTGTGCATAGTTCCTTGCTCGCCTTCCTTCGCTTCCTGCCCTCTCTGCTCTTCTTTGTGTTGTAGCACGCTATGTTAAGTAACGTTATTTCCTTCTCCAGCTTCATAGGCGTTTGAAGATTGTTGGCGAGAAGTGTGCTGCTAACCTGGGCCTGACCGATGAATTCCGGATGGCTGTGAGATACCCACCCTCAGGCCCTTCAGACTACCGCACGCGTCTTCTGGATTCTGGGTGGCCGTCAGTTGGGCCAGCCTCCTGGCTAAGATGTTTGCCCCGCAGGAGTTGCTGCACGTGTACGGATCGCCACCAAATGGATTTCACATGTCGCCCGTCAGTCTACCCACCGTTGACATATAATTGTTTTTGGTGGGTGCCTGTGGAGAGTAATGAAAAGCTTTGCGCAGCATTTGCACAATAAAGATGGAGCATGGGGATATCATCTCTGTCTCACCTGTCTTACTGATGGAAATGGTTCTGCAAGTTGAAACGGTGGGTCTCTGTCTCCCAAAGATAATATAGGATGTGCCGGCCGTGCGTTTGAGGCCTTACCATCTTCCCCCTGCTTCCAAATAAAAGGGCGTGGGTTTTATCGCGTAACAGCAGCATTGACAAGCGGCAGGCGTAGAATTATAGAGGAATAAGGTTGGAAGAAAGCTTCCAGGTATCATCTGTCGTATGGCCCTGTCCCGAGGCCAAAGAATCTCTACCCGCATGATTTCTGACCGGTGCTCGTCAGCCTGTTCTTAACCAATCTCTGAGTTTTGCCACCGCTTGCGCTTTCTTTTCAGTCGTGGATTTTGGGACGTAGAGAATTTATTTCTCCCACAGAAACTTTCCCAAATGGAACAGCCTTTGTGATACTTGAGACGGGAATTGCTGTGCTTCTGCTGTCTTTGATATTGGGCTGCTCTTCTCCATTTTTCTTTTTTTATATGAACAAGACATTAAAAAAAAACAAAACCAACAACGTAGCATTGTTCCATAACTAGAAGGAGGGGCAGCTACAGGCACCGTAAGGCTCGCATGGAATAAAGAAGGGAGATTCTCCTTGGCCCTCCTCTTGCTATTAATATGTTTGAAAAAGCAATTTTTTAATCATCTCGAACAATGGTGGCCAGATTAAGGTCTCGCTGGGCTTTTGCCCGTCTAATTTTCTCCCTGCGTATCCCAGCAACATCCTTGTACTCTTCCCGAGTTGCCTGTCCCTTCTTCGAAAGATGGCAAACTCGTGGCCTGGCCGGCCAATACGCGGTCATTTGACGGGAGGGATCGGCACCAAAAAGCCCCGAGCGCGTTTGGGGAGGAGCCGATCAGGGCAATCCCTAATACCCGCGGCCTGTTCTGCAGGCCTCGTTTCCCCGCCGTAGGGGCGCAGCACTTAGAGGGCACAGATTCCCTTCGCGGTGGCGCCCACCCGATCCCCCAGGTCGCATCCCCGCGCTCCCGGAGGCGCGCGCAAAGTCTCTGAGCCCCGATAAGCACCGGGCAGACGGGAGCGGAGCCGCCAACAGGGCGGGGACAAGCGAAAAAGGGCACGCGTGACAGCCAACCGAGGCGCGCGAACGGTCGGCGGCGCTCTGTCGGCCCAATGAGCACCGCCGATGGTCGGGTCGGGCCAGGCCGGGCTTAGCCGAGCCGAGGGGGGGGAGATTCGCGGATGAGGGAGAGTTGTAACCATCGCCCGTTGCGGTGCCGGCGAGTGCGGCGGGGCGGGCGGACGGGCCTTTCTGGCTGCTGATGCTCGCTACTGCAGCGCCTCCTCTCAAAGCCCGCGCTCCTTCGGTGCCACGGGGCTGCCGTGGCGCGCGTCCTGGGTTGCTGGTGCCGTCTGGCTCGCCCTGCTTCCCAACGCTGAAGCGCTTGGTGGCAGTCGCGGGCGCTTGCCACTAGTCGTGCTAGTTCCATTAGAATTAGTTGACCGTTTCCTACAGGTCGGTGGTATTCACGTGTCGAAGGCGATAACCTTTGCGGCTATTTCGAAGCGTCTGACGTAATGCCAGCCTCACTGCGCTAATCCAAAACGTTCTTTTGCCTGAGTGAGTAAGGAAAGGACAAGATAATGATTAACTATTGTTTAGGAATGTAGGTAAGCAGGATGTGTGGTCAGATAAGAAAAGGACATCTGGAAACTCTGTTGAAACATTACACAAGGAATGAGTCAGGATTGGATTACTTCTGTCAGAGTCAATGGGTCTTCTCCCATGCAAAGGAGACCCCCACTGCTCATGGCCAGTCTGTATGTTGTTATGTCAGGAATGTAATGAATATGCATGCGAATTCCAGTGATTGTGTATTCGTTTGGCCTATATCTGTACCAAGCTTCTTCCTTATGGTGGGGAAGTTTGGAGGAGCTATCTGCCTTGCACCCAGCTTTGCGCCAAATGCTGAATAAAACGTACCTGCTTTATAACCTAACTCTGGGTTATAGAGTTTGATTCCATGAGTCAATTTGGCACCCCAGATGGGACCATCTCTGCTTGGCTGCAGGACCGGCTGAGAGGGGGGACGCCTTTGGCGCGCCCCGAGATTGCTCGGAAGGACTCCCCTACCTCAGCCGATCACTGCGAGAGTAGGCATGGACCATCTATCGGCGGACCAGGTACGTTTTGGAAAGGAGGGGAACCCTGTAAGTTGTAAGGAGACGTCCTATACAGGGTGGATAGCCTTTGTGCTGTCCCTAGGTTAGTGAGCTCACAGGTATGGTAGGTCGCCAGCTGGGGTGGGTAGGCTCTGGCGAGCAGATCTTTGGGGGAGCACCCACAAACGGACCTTGTAAATCATACGCGGGTTAAGGGGACAGGATATAGTGGGTATCCTGTCAAATGGTTATCTGGTTGTAATAACAGGAACTATAGCTTGTATACGTGTTATTATCAATAGCATCAAAATATTTGATTAAGCCAGCATTGTGTGAATGTGGTGTGAGTGAGACGTAGCTAAGCTATGGAGCGAGAGCAGAGTCCCCGATCTGCGGTTCCGTGCTCCCGCGAGGGAAACGGCCGGAGACGGATGAAGCAAAAGTTGTCTTTTTCTGTTGTTTGTCCGTCCATACAGGTTTTCTGTTTATGGATTGTGATGGTGATGGGAATTTATACTTTATAAATTGGGAAGAGGGGCCTGAGGAAAGGTGTGCATTCCACCCTGAAAACGAGTGTTGCCCCATTTATATTATATGTTGTCTAGTGTGTGAAGAAATATATCGGGGTTGGTGGCGTCATTTGTGTCCAGAGTGCCACCGTGAGTGGTGGACCGAGCATCACGGACTGGCATGGGGAAATTTTAGAGTATTGAGAGTTACTTGTGGAAGCCTTAGGGCAATAACAAACCAGTGAGACAACATGATGGGAGGGTCACAGGGAAAGGAAATACCTAAAAGAACACCCCTCGGATGTATTCTGACATATTGGCGAGATATTGCAGGGGGACCTGGGGGCATTCTAAGTAAGAAAACTGATAAAATATTGTAATCAATGGTGGTTAACGTATAAATTGGATGATGGGGAAAAGTGGCCCCTAAACGGGACGTTGAACTACAATACCATTCTGCAACCAATGCTATTTTTAAAACGGGAAGGTAAATAGGATGAGGCAGCATACGCTGATATGTTCTTTACCCTCAGGAATCATCCTGAATGGCAAAGAGAATGTGGGATGCGGGCACCACAAGATCCTCTAGTGTATGAATGGGGAATGAATATCAACTCATTTATGTAATATTGTGTTCCGTTTGCAAGGAGATGTGTGAGGGAGGTGGGTCAATCAGTGCTGTTTCTGTGGTGAGGTGTTTATAACCAAATGACACAGATTGTTAGGGGAAAGTTATATGGTATTAAGGGTATTTATGGAAACTGAAGAACTATGGTTAGATTTGTGCATTTCGAAGGGAATGAGACAAACTGTTTTGATGGTTGAATAATCAATGAAAATTGTATAAAGGAATATTATATAATCTAATAATATTATGATGTTATAATAATGAAATAAGCAAGAGAGTTAGGCACAGCGAGACAAAGAGAATAAATAGGAGGCTTACCCATGTCGTGGGCTCACACAAAAAAGACCAGCGGAGTGGATCTTCCAAAAAGAGAGAGAGATACTTCCCCACTGGTAGTCAGCTCTTAAATGGGTCTAGGAGAGGTGGAGCCAGGCTCCACCCCTTTCTGTAGCACAGGTGAATTGCTTTCACCTGTGCTCCCAAGGCTGACTCATTGCTCGCCTCAGGTGACTAATCAGAGGTTCAGGCCCTGACTCAGCAGTTCCCATACAATGGTATAAGAAAGTGTAATTGTTAATGGTATAGAATTGAGTATAACTGCAAGTGTAAATGAGGGTATTAATAGTGGAACAAAGGAAAAAGGGTTAAAGGGAAAGTGAATTAATCCTTGCTGGTGTGAGAGCAACCCCTGCACCACTCCCCCGTGAGCAGTACTTGGTGTGAGAGAGAGAGCCCGGGATGGAGACTGCTGTTACTTGTGAAGGGGGAAGTGAGAATAGCCTCTGTAGAGGTCTAGGAAACCCAAAATCCCAGTGTTAGCACAGGAAGCCTCCGGAGAGGAGGAGGCAAAACTGAAATATGATGTTAGTAGTTTATGTAATGATGAGAGTTTGGAAAGTGAAAA